GGAGGAGGAGGAGGAGGAGGAGGAGGAGGAGGAGGAGGAGGAGGAGGAGAAGGAGGAGAAGGAGGAATCCGTAGCCATTTGGCTCAAGGCCATTGCCTGGGGGCTTCCCTTCCCCTGGGGTGGGGGCTCGAGCTGGTCACACTGACCCGCGCCCCCTTCATTCACTGTACTTTCGTTTCTGCTGATGGCTCCTCAGCAATCTTGGGATGGCAGCAGTTCTCACATGTGGCGCTGCGAGCGCTGCGGGTGCAGTAAAACGAAGTGGAACCAGGCGCACTGTAAGCATTGCGGGGCACACTGGCAGACAGGTGAAAAGAAGAAGGCCAAGAAGGGCAAAGGGACTGACCGCGACGGCTGGGACCAAGGCCAGCTGGGCGATTCTCCTCCTGGGCTTGGCGTCACGGTTCCATTGCCAGTCGGCGCCCAGGCAGGAGGAAAGGACCCAGTCCCAGACTTATCCGTTGATGAAGTGCGCCAACTCATCGAGTTGGCCAACAAGGGGGAGAATGCTCCCCTCGCCCAGTACTACGAGTCGGTCTTGGTGGCCAAGGACCGCACCGCAGTTTCCCCACAGGTTCGCGCTGACCAAGCCAATCGATCCATCATCAAGTTGGAGGGGGAGCTGCGGGGCCAGACCACGAGGCTGGCAGAGATGCATGAGCAGGTGCAGAAGCAGCACGAGGTCGTGTCCACCACCTTGGCTGAGCTGTCGGCGCAGGAGGAGATCTACAAGCAGGCGATCACCGAGCTCCACTGCACCATCTCCTCAGCTCAGCCTGAGAGTGCCGCATCAGCCAAGAAAGTGGTTTCCTTGGGCGACATTCTCAGTGGCAAGGACACCGACTGGGACTTATCATGTGGTGATGATTTATTCGGTTTGGGTGAATATATCGATCTGCAGGAGTCCGACGTCAAAGAAGCTAAAGATCGGGAGGCCCGACTCAAGACTCACCAACCTGTTCGGCGAGCTCAAGGCCAAGGCCGAGGCCGCCCAGAAGGGGCAGGAGGAGCTACGTGCCCGCCTTGCGGGCAAGCGACGACGTGCCGCTGATGGAGAGGCGGCTGGGGAGGGCGATGGGGCATCGGCGGGCGTGGCATCGGCGGCAGACGGCGGTGCGGCGGCGGCGGCGTCCCAGGCCCCTCCAGGGCATGATGCAGCGAAAGGACCTGGGCAAGGCAAGGGCTCGCCTCTCGGACGCAACAGTAAGGAGCTCCGTGAGAAGGCCCAGGTGCTCCTGGCCAAGGGTCTCGGCAAGACGAAGGAGGCCGATGGCCAGGCGAGTCTTTAGCACGCCTTGGGTACCAAGGGCAGGCTCGTCTGACGAGTCAGACTCAGGTTCTGCATCAAGTTCGGCCTCTACATGGACTTTTGTGACAGTCAACACGTCGGGTTGGTCAGGAACCCAGCATGCCCTGACTGATCCAGCTCTGGCGAGTGCTCATGTGATGTGCTTCCAGGAGTGCAAAGTTTTGCGTGAGCGGGTACCCCAGAGTGAAAGCAGTGTGCGTTCGGATGGCTGGAAGTTGCGACTGACACCAGCTGTGCGTACAGGGGGGATTGGTGAGAAGGGGGCGTCGTCGGGGGTCGGCATCGCCGCGAGGCACCACATCGGCATGGGCTCCGTCGTGGGGCCCCACAAGCACCTTATGAATCCTCGGAGTTCCATTGTCTGGGTTAATGGAGGAGTACGAGGGGGACTATATGTAGCTAGCATGTACCTGCCTGATGGGGAAGGAGTCCAGGGAGAACGGGGTCGTCAGCTGATAAATCAGATGGGCGAATTTCTCTACGCTGCTCAGAAGCCCTTCATCTGGGCCGCGGACTTCAACTCGTTGCCGTCAGAAGTGCAGGCGCTGCCAATCATTCACAAGATTAGGGGTGTCGTCGTGCACGGCAACCAGCCCACGCGCAGGGTAGGTCGGTGGAGAGAGCTCGATTTTTCATTGTCTCGCACGGCCTCGTGGGCTCGATCAAGTCCTGTCGCAGGGTGGAGGAGTCAGGGAATCAAACGCATTATCCAGTAATGTTAACTCTCTCCACGGACGCCCATCGGAGGACGAAGCAGGTTTTAAAGTTGCCTCGGCCCGTTCCCCTCGAAGGGCCAATAGGACTTGCGCCTCAGAGGAACTGGAGCGATCTGCTAGATAGGTTGCACGGCTTCGACGAGAGGCCAACCCAGACCGAGTTCAACCTTTTGCACTCGGACATGTGTGCGATGATGGAAGGAGAGCTCGCCGACATCTCAGGTATTCCTCTAGCTGATAGGTCGCAGTATTTCGGCAGAGGAGCTGGGTATCATCTGGTATCTAGGCCTGTTTTGGAGAATGTCAAGGGCCCCTATCCCAAGTGCACCAAGGCCTCCAGGGCGCTCAGGAAGTTCCAGGTCCGTCTTGAGGAGCTCAGACACCTTCGGAAGCGTGAACACAGCTGGCACTCGTCAGGGGTCAAGGATCTCGTAGGCAAGCTCCGTAAGCCGACATCCGACCTAGCAGCTGTTCCTGGATGGCGAGAGTTTCAAGATAGGTTACGTTTTCAGGCTGGCGTTTCTCTTGATGATTTGGATGGGTGTGCTGAGTCCGTTCGAGAATTCGCCGAAGTAGTTGAGTCGTGCTTCAGGCAGGCCAAGACGAAGGTTTGGAGGGACTGGGTGACTAGTTATCTGGCGGTTGGTGGCGGGGCTGTGTTTAAGTGCACCAAAGAACCCGTTGGGTGGGCCCCCGACCCCACTGGAGTTTCTGGAGGTCCCGCAGGCCAGGTCGACACCGTCGAGTCCCTTCTGGAGGAGTGGAGGAGCATATGGCACGAAGGAGAGCCCAGCCGACTCACGGCAGAACACCTAGGACTACCCCTTGGAGATGCCCCACCAGTCCCGACTCTGGAGCAGATCAAGGGAGCCCTCAAACGGTTCAAAAAGAACACAGCGGTAGGAGTGGATGGGTGGAGCCCTGCTGCGTTGAGGAAGCTTAGCGATCAGGCGCTCGAGGTGTATGCCAAGTTTCTTTCGTGTGTGGAGACGCACTTGCTGATCCCAGCGCAGTGCGACACGTCGCTGATTGCCTTCTTGCAGAAGCCAGATGGTGGCTACAGACCCATTGGCATCCTGGCGACAGCGATCAGGGTATTAAGCCGTATCCGTAGGTACGAAGCAGCACAGTGGGAGCGAGCACACGAGCTGAAATGTATCTATGGGGCGAAAGGGAAGAGTTGTGAGAGAGCGATATGGCAGCAAGCAGCGTCTGTCGAGTCAGCCAAAGCAATACAAGCGTCGTCAGCGTCGGCTCTTATAGATATGGAGAAATGCTATGAGAAGATCCCGCACGATGTATTGTGGCACGCGTGTGTGAAGCATAACTTTAGTTTGCGTCGTATCAGGCTGTTGCTCATGGTGTATGGTGGTAAGCGTCGTGTCAAAGTGCGTGAGATTGTGTCCGACACTATCCAGATCACGAGATCCATCATAGCAGCATGTTCTTTTGCCACGACGCTCCTGAGGGTCATTTTGCACGATGCTTTGCAGTATATGCAGGAACGTTGGAGTTCGCTCACTCTATATGTGATGGTGGATGACATCACCGTCGAAGCGATAGGCTCCATGCGGAACGTGGAGCTGAAAATCGCCACAGCCGTGCCTGACCTGTGTCGTCGTCTCGAGCTGTTAGGTTTGGTCATCTCCAGGAAGAAGGGCCAGATTGTGGCCTCGAGTGACCAGCTTGCCCAGAAGTTGCAGAAGGCCCTGTCTAGGTACTGCTTTAAAGCGTATTCCTCGGTGACAAATCTCGGGCACGATTTCGGGATGCAGTTCCGGAAGGGGAAGAAGACACTCAGGCAGAGGATTTGGTCTGTTCGGAAGCGAGCTGGTCGGTTTCATTCGATTAAGCATCACCGAAAGGGACTGAAACGTGTATTTCGGGCAGGAGGGATGGCGGCAGCAACGTATGGTATAAGGGTCCAGGGGATGTCGACGACGGACTTGGCCAGTTTACGATCTGTTGCATCCTTTGTGTTGTTTGGGAAGGCTAAAGGGCGCTCGCGTGCAGTGCAGTATTTATTAACGGATCCGTATGACCTCGACCCGTCGTTCGTCGTCAATACGTTACCGCTATTGACATGGTATACCGCACTGCGACAAGAGTGGCTCCCTCGAAAACTGCTTTCCACCATCTTTGACGCGGCCGCGGCCTCGTCCAAGGCCGGGTGGAGCTCGGTGATAGGTCCAGCTGGCGCTGTTATCCAGACCCTCGTGCGCATGGGTTGGGTGGCGGTAGACTATGTGACGTGGAAAGATGCCCAGGGACTCGTGGTGGACCTCCTCGATATAGGCCTCCAGACCCTCAAGAGCCTCATCCATCGTAGCCTCCGCAGGGCTCAGGAGATCCAAGCGCAGAAGCACTTTGGGTGGGACTGTATGCCGTATTTGGATCCCATTAAGCAGGAGCTGCAGCGTATGAGGGGACGGGGTGAACATATCCAGGCAGATTTAGTTGTCACTCATCTTGCTGGAGGCCTTTGGACCCAGAGCAAGCTGTATTGTGAAAGATACTCCATATCCAACCTGTGTCGAAGTTGTGGAGCTCAGGCAGGCACCATTCGGCACCGTATATATGAATGTGATGGTCAGGCTGCGTGGCGGCGTGACTTTGATATGGCCGAGCTTGTGGATATCAGTCGGGAAGCAGGAGACTGTCCGCTTGTCGAGTATGGTGTTACAGGCTCGGGACGTGACGAATACCCTCCACCGCTCGTGGGATCCGAGGCTGAAGAGAATTTCCAGAAAAGACTGGGGCCCAGGGGCCACTTGGGGTTGGAGATTTTCATCGACGGATCGGGGTTGAATCCTGAAGTGGAGTGGCAAACCCGTTCGGGATGGTCGTGTTGCACCTTGGTTCCAGGATCCCGCGAAGCAGGACTTGTGTGTTATGGCCCCACGCCTGGCGTGGTGCAGAGTGCAGGGCTCGCTGAACATTTCGCCTTTTATATGGCCCTGTGCTTGATGGGGCCGAAGGCGGTCATCATCACCGATCATAAGAACTTGCTGCTGTCCGTGGACAAAGGAGCTGAAATAATGCGTGTTCCGTCCCAACCATATTTTGAGATTTGGAGGTTGATTTTCTGGAAAATCGAAGACGTGGGGAGAGAAAGCTTTGAGCTGGTCTGGATGCCGTCCCATAAATCCAAGGCGTGGCTGAGCAGGAACGGTTTTCCCCCACACTGGCATGCTGGGAATTCTGAGGCCGATAGGTATGCTAAGCTAGGTGCTATGGGTCACCCGTCCCAACCCCAGATCCTTGAACGTCTCAGAGCCGCTGAGCAGTTCGGGATTAAGTTTGTTAGACTCCTGTCAGGTGTTTTGTATAATCTCAGTAGGCAAGGTTTTCCAGATGTAGATGATATGCCAAAGGTCCAGAAGAGGCCTGAAAAGCAAAAGGTAGCGGGTGAATTACTGTGTACTCTTAAACTTGTAAAGGGGGATAATGGGCACCTCCTTCATAAGCAAGGGGGTAGATGGGGCTGTCGGTTGTGTGGTCAGAGCTCGCTCAGAAGAGAACGCGTGACCAGTCAGCGCTGCCCAGGTACCCCAAGGATTGTTGCCAGGGCCCACCCCTCCCATCGAATGTGGGTGTGTGGGACTACGTTTTTCTGTGCAAGATGTGGGAGCTATGGCACTGGTCAGGTGAAAGGCTTGGCCAAGGAGTGCCCTCCCAGAGGGCCAGGCGAATGGGGCAGGAGAGCTCTGAAGGAGCTTGAGAAGGGGAAGGACCCTACCAGCAAGAAGGTGGTGGGTACCCCCTTTCCTGTCCATTGAGCGCCCCCTTTTCCACAACTCTGCAGGCTATCTTTCACCCGCGTGAGGGATAGACTTGTCCGAGGCTCCAGAGGCTCCAGAGGAGGAGGAGGAGGAGGAGGAAGAGGAGGAGGAGGAGGAGGAGCAGGAGGAGGAGGAGGACGATGCCTTCCATCAGGATCGGCCCGCAGGCCTGCCCGGGGGCGCCCTCCGACCACGATTTGCGGGAGCGGCTCTGGCCCTGGCGGCGGAGGACCACAGGCGCAGAAGCGCAGAACAGGCCTCGCCATCGCCTCTCCTCGTCCTCATCCTCCTCCTCCTCCTCCTCCTCCTCCTCCTCCTCCTCCTCCGTCGCCTCTCCTCGTCCTCCTCCGGCAGCCCTGCGCCCCCCGCTTCGCACCTCGGAGCCCGACGGCCAAAGCAAACCGGGCATGAGGAAGGAGGAGGTGAGCGGGGGGAGGGGAGCAGGTGGAGGAGAACAACGGGGAGGAAGGGGAGAGGCAGGAAGGAGGAGGAATACGGTAGCACGAGGCAGTCGGAGAAAGGACGAAGGAGGAGGAGGAGGAGGAGGAGGAGGAGGAGGAGGAGGAGCAGCAGGAGCAGGAGGAGGAGCAGGAGCAGGAGGAGGAGGAGGAGGAGGAGGAGGAGGAGGAGGGAGGAGGAGGGAAGAGGAGAGAGGAGGAGGGAGGAGGAGGAGGAGGAGGGAGCAGGCGGAGGGAGGAAGAGGAGGAGGAGGAGGAGGGATCAGGAGGAGGGAGGAGGAGCGAGCTCGCCATTGGGAGGCGAAGGAATGGCCGACCCGACACGTCCTGAAACAAGAAGGAGGAGGAGGAGGAGGAGGAGGAGGAGGAGGAAGCAAAGGGATCCCCAAACACCAAGCTATGGCTGCATTGGAGCCTCAGTCCTCCCCTCCTGGCCGCTCACTGTTTCTTGCCCTCGCCCCGCGGCCTGCCTAGGACCGCCGAGCCTGCCAGAAGGCCAGGCTCCCGGCGCATGCCGAACGAGGATTGGGGAGGCGAGGGGAGGTCGAGTCGAGGAGGCGGGGGGAGCACAAGCAAGGCTTCAGGGAGCGGGGCCCACATGAGCGACGAAAAGAAAGGGGCCTTGCACAGGACGGCATAGCGACCTTATGCCGCAGCTTGCGCGGGGCGCCAGCGTGGGACACCAAGTTGAGAAGAGGGCAGCTTCCGTGCGAATGTCGGCGCACGCGACCCCGTTTTCTTGGGTCGCTCACGTGGCTCCAGCGGGCTCAGACGTGAAGGGGGAGGGATACTGTCAACGCTGGGAATAAGGGTGCATGATAAGGATGCAGAGGCCCTGGGAGGCAATGCCAGCGCTTTTTGAGCGGGGCGCGGCCAACGAAGGTGGCCAAGGATGGGCCGACGGGAAAGGATGCACGGGCAACCTTGGAAACCCGCTCACCCTTACTCTCAACGTTTGGCACGGGGGCAACGGGTCCTGGAACCTGGGGTCTTCCCGCAGGACGAGGTCTTTATCCTGAGCCGTTCTCCCACAGTGCCTAGGGATCGTGGAGGGCCCCGCGAGCCCGACGACGGCGAGAAACCGCAGGACCCGTTTCCCTCAGGACCCGCTTCCCCGCTGGCGAAAACGTTGACTGCACGTGCGAGGATGAGAAGGGATGTGAGGCGGGGTTGTCGCCATGCGCACCACCTGGGCACCGACGTTCTCGGGGACCCAGCGGGCGGTAGACATGGACATACATCTATATATCTATGTGTTTGTGTGTATATATACATGAGTATATGTATGTATGTATGCCTGTATGTATGCATGCATGTATGTATGCATGCATGTATGTATGCATTCATGTATGTATGTATGCATGTATGTATGATTGGATGGATGTATGTACATATGTAATTAAGTATGCATGCATGTATGTGTATATATATATATATATATATATGCATGTATGCATACATGCATGTGTGTATGTATGGATGAATGGATGGATGGATGGATTGATTGATGTATGCATGCATGTATGTACAAAAGTACATAGTTTCCCCACATTCACACACAAATATATATACATACATATACATACATATTTTATATATATATATATATATTAGAAAATGGCCCCTGGGGGCCCAGATGTATCCATATCCACTGCCTGCCGAGGACTCCGAAGATTGATCCTCCAGGCGGTGGTCGTGCCTTCCTCCTGCGCAAGCCCCGCCCGCCTCAGCCGGCCTCCCCGCGGCCTCCCCGGGCGCGGGCGCCTCAGCTCGGGCGCGGCGCCCTCCGGCCGCGCCTGCCGCGCGGGAGCCGTCCCAGAGATCCGACGCTCCAACAAAAAAATCGGGGCGCCGGGGTGTGGACTATAGGGAACCGAACTCTCTGCACCGATGCTGTTCTCCGGCCCCGCATTGAAGCGCGCACAGGAGAGCGGATCCTGATGTGTGCGGGATCCTGGTGTGTACATATTGCGTTGCTTCTCTGGGAAAACGGTGAAACAAGCATACACCACACCGCCCCGACGTCGCCCTCGACCCTCAAGAAGTCCTGGGATCGAAAGAGAGCCCGCCGCTGGTGATGTATATGCTCCAGCTTCCGATGGACAGTTTTCAGCCTCCATGGGGCCCTCGCCGGGCCTCGGGAGCGTCAGAGAACGACTCAGGACGAAACACCGGTCCAGGGAAGTGGTGGAGGAGGAGGAGGAGGCGGAGGAGGAGGGGGAGGGGGAGGGGGATGGGGGAGGGGGAGGAGGAGGAGGAGGAGGAGGAGGAGGAGGAGGAGGAGGAGGAGGAGGAGGAGGAGGAGGAGGAGGAGGAGGAGGAGGAGGAGGTGGCCTGAACCTCCGGGGCCCAGGCATCGAGAAAAGAGCGGAGCCGCCGGATGTGTCTGGGGTGGCGAGCGCGGGCGGGCCCGTGGAACCACCGGTGCCGACGCCTCCCATGTTCGATCGCCCGTCGGTGGGAGGAAGCGGGCAGAAGCATGAAGTAATGCGGGATGACGATTAAAGAAAAAATGAGGGGGGAACGATTGAAAGAACAGTTTTCTGTCATGTCTGCACAATCTTCTCACTGGCGGAGAACGATCAAAGAAAATAGTTTTCCAGCCCGCGGCCAGGTTTTTCTAATCTTCATCCCGAGCGCCGCCGCGTGAACACGACCCCCGGTCATTTATTAATCGTCATCCTCCATGAGGAAGGAGTGGGGAAGCAGATTCGGCTTCCGCCCGCCCCCGGAAGAGGAGGGAAGAGGCAAACCCGCTCGGCCCTTGAAGCAGGGAGGCGCCTGAAAGTAGCTTGGGCTCGGGGAGTCCGGAAATACCTACCTATACGACCACCCTTCGGATGCTAAGGAGGTTCGGGGGGGGGAGGAACCAACGTCTCACTCGATCGGTCTCTTTATCGATCTCACGATCGATCTCACTATCGGTCTCGCTCGACCGATCTCACCCGATCGATCTCACAATCGATCTCCCTCGATCTGTTCGATCGATCTCACAATCAATCTGACTATCGATATCACAATCGACCTCACTATCGATCTCACTATCGATCTCACAATCGATCTTACCTTCGGTCTCACCATCGATCTCACTATCGATATCACAATCGATCTCACAATCAACGTCATCATCATCAACGACATCATCGTCATCAACATCATCGACATCATCATCATCATCATCATCATCATCATCATCATCAGAACCATCATCATCATCACCATCATCATCACCATCATCATGATCGGGACACCATCCATCATCACCACCATCATCATCACAATCATCAGCATCATCGGGACACCATCATCACCATGTGCATCAGAACGCCACCATCATCATCATCATCATCATCATCATCACATCATCATCACGACTAACATCGTCAACATCATCATCGGAACACCATCGTCAGCAGCAAAATCATCATCATCATCATCACCATCACCATCATCATCATCATCATCATCATCATCATCATCATCATCATCATCATCGGGACACCATTATCATCGTCACTCTCATCATCGTCACCATCATCATCATCACTGGGACACCATCATCATCATCATCATCATCACCATCAGCATCAGCATCATCATCATCGGGCCACCATCATCAAAATCATCATCATCATTACCTCATCATCATCCTCGTCATCAACATCATCATCATCATCGAAACACCATCATCGTCATCATCATCATCGGGACACCATCATCATCATCACCATCATCATCAACAGCAGCATCATCAACCTCATCATCATCATCATCAGGACACCGTCATCATCATCTTCATCATCATCATCTCATCATGATCCTCTCATCGTCATCAACATCATCATGATCATGATCATGATCATCATCATCATCATCATCATCGGAATCCCACAATCATCACCACCATCAACAACATCATCATCATCAACATCATCATCATCGGGCCACCATCATCATCACCACCATGGCCATCATCATCACCATCATCATCAACATCGTCAACATCAACATCATCATCATCATCCTCATCATCATCATCATCGGGACACCATCATCATCACCACCATCACCATCATCATCATCACTCATCATCGGCATCATCATCCTCCTCCTGAACAACATCATCAACATCATCATCATCATCATCATCATCATCATCATCATCATCATCATCGGGACACCGACGGGACACCGGCGGGACACCGGCGGGACACCGCGGGCCACCGGCCCCCCGAAAGGAATCATTTGGTCCGGCCGCGCCTCAGCCGGAGGCGGGATACCGGCGGGACACCGCGGGCCACCGGCCCCCAGAAAGGAATCCTTCGGTCCGGCCGCGCCTCAGCCGGAGGAGACTTTCTTCTCGCCCGCCCACGCAGCTTCGCCTCGCCCACATGCACGGCACGCACGAACACATAACCGAAACCGATTTCCCGGTAGGGGGGCTCCCCGTTCCACTTCGATCTCACTCCCTCACCTCCGACCTTCAAGGACCCGCGTGCAATGTAGAGCGAGGATGATGTCATGATATGATTGGCTCAAGATGCTTTCCAGGATTCCCAGAGTATCTAGCGGAGCAGCCGGTGCGGAGCAACAGGAAATATGGGGGATCCTGGGAACCTTGGACATCTTGGAGCGTATCATTGTCATGGCCTCTTGCTCCGTTGATACTGGTGTCCGAAGATTGCGCCGTCTCCCCGATGCATCGCGGGAACATCGGAGACGCACTGGCGACGTCGGCGTTACATTGGCGCCGTCGGCGCCCAGAGAATCGGGTTCCACATCGAGCTGCGTCGCCAGTGCATCGGCGATGCAGCGCAGTCCTCCGACCCAATCTACTCGGACCCAATTTGGGAGGCCTCGGCGATAGGCGGCGGGAAAGACGTGGCCAGGACCAGGGCAGCACCAGACGGGGGCACACGGGGATCATCTCTGAGATCCAGCAGTTCTGGGAGGCGTGTCGGGCGCCGCGGCCGTTCCAGACTTGGACGCCCAGAGTGGGACCGGAAAGTTTGGACGCCCGAGATGGGAACGGAAAACAGGGGTACAATGCCCAACAGCAAATGTTGTCTCAAACAAACAGCGGCCGCTGTTTGGCAGGCGGCCTCCTGTCCTGGATGGACACAGGCCGCGGCGACACCGACAGCGAGTCCTGTTCAACATGAATTACCCCAGTGCGACCCTACCTAGAAGTTGGAGCCCCTAGGAAAGCATCATTAGTTGTTATGCTATGCTATGCTATGCTATGCCATGCTATGCTGCGCTATGATATGATATGCTATGCTATGCTATGCTATGCTGCGCTATGCTATGCTATGCTGCCAGGCATCATGCCCATTCTTTCCGTACCCATTTCGTTCGTGCCGAGCAAAGGCGGGCACGACGCCCAGCAGCAAAGCGCTGTTCTGGACCGACAGGGAAAGCTGTCGGGCCGCCGGCCGTCTGCCTCCCGTGCTAGATAGTAGACGTAGTTGTCGTAGTACTGGGTCGTTGTAGATAGTACTATGTGCTACTCAGAGCACGTAGAAGGCAGTAGGTAGAAGTAGGTATAGTGTGTAGTAGTAGTACTAGGCAGTAGTAGTAGCAGTAGTAGTAGTCGTAGTAGTAGTAGTAGTAGTAGTGGTAGTAATCTAAGTAGTCGTAGAAGTAGTCGTAGTAGTAGTAGTAGTAGTAGTAGTAGTAGTAGTAGTAGTAGTAGTAGTAGTAGTAGTCGTAGTAGTAGTAGTAGTAGTAGTAGTAGCAGCAGCAGAAAGAGCTGTAATAGTAGTAGAAGTACAAGTAGTAGTAGTGGTGGTAGTAGTAGTAGTAGCAGTAGTAGTAGAAATAATAGTTGTAGGGTATGTAAAAGTAAACCGTGGTAGTACTAGTAGTGGTAGCAGTAGTAATGGCAGTCGTAGTAGTAGTAGTAGTAGTAGTAGTCGTAGTAGTAGTAGTAGTAGTAGTAGCAGTAGTAGTAGTAGGAGTAGTAGTAGTAGTAGTAGTAGTAGTGGTAGTAGTTGTAGTGGTAGTAGTAGTAGTGGTAGTAAGAAAAGTAGTTGTAAGAGTAACAATAATAGTAGCAATAGCCGTCGTAGTAGTAGTAGTAGTAGTCGTAGTAGTAGTAGTAGTAGTAGTAATAATAAAAGTAGTATTAGGACTAGTAGTAGTAGCAGTCGTGGCACTAGTACTAGTAGTAGTAATAGCAGTGGTAGTAGTAGTAGTAGTAGTAGTAGTAGTAGTAGCCGTAGTAGTAAAAGTAGTGGTAGTCGTAGTAGTAGTAGTAGTAGTAGTAGTCGTAGTAGTAGTAGAAGTAGTAGTAGTAGTAGCAGCAGTAATAGTAATAGTACTAGTCGTTGTAGTAGTAGTAGTAGTAGTAGTAGTAGTAGTAGTAAGAGTAGTGGTAATAGTGGTAGTAATCTAAGTAGTCGTAGAAGTAGTCGTAGTAGTAGTAGTAGTAGTAGTAGTAGTAGCAGAAAGAGCTGTACCAGTAGTAGAAGTACAAGTAGTAGTAGTGGTGGTAGTAATAGTAGCAGTAGTAGTAGTAATAATAGTTGTAGGGTATGTAAAAGTAAAGAGTGGTAGTACTAGTAGTGGTAGCAGTAGTAATGGCAGTCGTAGTAGTAGTAGTCGTCGTCGTAGTAGTAGTAGTGGTAGTAGTTGTAGCGGTAGTAGTAGTAGTAGTAAGACAGGTAGTTGTAATAGTGACAGTAATAGTAGCAATAACCGTCGTAGTAGTAGCAGTAGTAGTAGTAGTCGTAGTAGTAGTAGTAGTAGTATGACTAGTAGTAGTAGCAGTCGTCGCACTAGTACTAGTAGTAGT